GTTGATTGTCGTCTGGATAAGTTAATTAATGTCTAATTGATAATTTAGATAACATTTCAGGCCTAAAGAAAGACTTGTAATAAGCAGATTTTGCTCTTGCATAATGCATGTTTAATATATTGAATGTTTCATTCAAATTACTATATTGTTAGGAACGTTATTACCTTTTGAAGTTTTGACTTAGATCTTTTATTATCGCAGCAACGTTACTTGTTAATCGAGACGCATTCTCGCTTCTCCATTTTTAAATTAAATCATTAATTGGCGATCGTCTTTTAATCTGGCACTAGCGTCTAGATAATCGATTTAACGTCTACAAATCGCTCGTATTTCAGGAAAAATAAAGTCGACACCAATTAATTCTTTTGCCGATAACTTTTGATAAACTTTGTAACCGAACTCCCAAGTAAAGGGACATACAGCCTACATAGAACAATTCCATTTTACTGTATAGTGATTGAATCATGTCCCTTTAAAGGAAATGAAACTCTCACTCAATATTTTCCTCATGTCGCTTTAAAGGAAGTGAAACTCTAACTCAATATTTTCCATAAAATTCGAAATAAAAAACACGAATTTAAATTCAATAGTGGTCAATCAATATTGATGTTGTTATTTTGCCGGGATCCTAGTATACAATATTTAAGACATAGTGAACATTTCAAAATAAGTACACGAGTCGTGTATTTCTGTGGATTCGAGCGCTATTTGTAATTGTTAAAAGGAAAACATATAATAATTATTAATGGCTGGTTCACAAACGACAAAATAATAATAATAAAAAGAAACGTGTAAACGAATGGCGTTCGATTTGGCCTGCTTACGTAATTCACCGAACATAATTGATTATAAATTACAATACAGTTTTTAAAATTTGACGACTAATCACTTTATATATATATATATATATATATATATATATATATATATATATATATATATATATATATATATTACATAAACATTTTTTTAGACCCATTTTAGGGTTCCACAGAATAGAACTATACGCCCTTCAAGATAACGGTCGTGGCCGTTCTCGTCAAATCATCATTTGTGAACAACAGCGTCACATCGTCGCCATCCTCAGATGATGTAGTATACCGACGATGATGATGTTCATTATCTATTTGTTATGGTCAACTTAAGATTTCGTCAAGGTCGTTGGGATGTAAATAAGGTTAGGTGTCACGTGATTGTTGGCGAGATTGTACCTTAGGGCTAAGTCCAGGGTTTGGGGGAGAGGTCAAGTCTCCACTTAAGCACTGACCTAGGATTGGGATTAGTGCTAGCCCTGTTTACATCTCGTGACCGAACTTGCAGTTGGCCTTATCGATTATATCTATCCGTCATTGTGACAATAATAAAATTATGAAGATCATGTCTCGAACCCTTTTGTTCATATAAAAATTCGGTACAAAAGCAAGTATATCACACAGTGGCAACAAGTCTATGTATAGAAGCTAGAATAATTTGTCGTCATCAACCAGCCCTTCAATCCTAGAAACTCTAACATTTTAAGCCCCGATACTTGTAATATTCTCGAGTAATGCCCATAATTTATTTCTTCATTACGCAATTTATTGTAATTTTGTATCCAACTAACTGAACAACTAGAAGTTCGATTGTGGGCGGTTTGTAGATGATGACAATAAAGACTAGAAGCTTTTGTTGTACTTTTGATTTAATTTTAATCAGATCGATGTGAACTTGTTGTCATAGGCGTAGGAGCCGATTTGCCCCCCCCCCCCCCAAAAAAAAATTATTTTCGGGCAATGAAAAATTCGACAACCTTTTTTTTCTATTAATGTTTAGAGAAAAAATATAACTAACTTATTTCTATGAGATCCACACTGCCCGAAAAGTATTTTCTCGTCTTTTTCTTGTCCACTGCATGCCCGAAAATATGCCCGAAGCTCTCTTATGATAGGTATGCCCGAAAAAACGGTATTGATTTCGGGCAAGTTTCTCTTATGCCCTCCTGAATTACTTTGAGCTCCTACGCCTATGCTTGTTGTAAAGTGGAATTAGTGACCACTGGCTACAAGTACAGAAAAGGTTATATGGTGACCTTATGTGCACTTTAATAATTATATTGCTATTTTGAATTTAATATATTATTAATGATGTACGTGATGAGTTCTATACCCTGTCACCTCAAGTATATAGATCTATTATGTCTACAGTGTATCTCCCTAAAGAGGAGGAAGAACGGCACGGGTCGATATTCAAGGCAGTTTATATCCTATTACCAGAGATTCTACACAACTTCGACGCCAACAACTGTGTTAGTAGGTCAATTTTAAGAGAAAAACAAGTCTATAAGTAGGTTAGCATGGCCAACAGGTCATCGTCGTATGATGTCATATGATGTACAACTACGTACAGGTAGTCGATAAAGCCGGTTAACACGTTTAAAGATACGCCTTCTTGTTTATCACAATAATTTGAATCTAATCAAGCTAATTGTGTTTGAGAAAAGCAGCTCAAATATATAGGTTAGTGGGATAAACAAAACGTGATTTATAAAAATACAAAAAGTAAAAAAGCAGCACGTGTCTTTCGCGCGTGCATTGGTTATCAGTGAAACTACCCTATGCTTTATCACCAGGTACGGCCCCGAAAGTGCCTAAATTTTATTGATCATAGAATGGTTAAAACTGCAAAGAGTCCTCGGTTCCCTGGTAATAAATAAATAAACACAATATAATATAATTTTGGCGCCTGAAAAACATGTCCCGTTGGCGTACACATAAAAAAGTCCTCAGTTGAAATACGATGGAGGGTAGGCGGAAATGCCTTTGTCAAGCAAAACAGTTCCCCATAGCACACTACATGGCGTTTAGCCGTTTTCAATAACACGATTGCCACAAAAAAGTAGGACTTTAAACCCCATTTTCTTTCGTTTATGCGGGGTTGGATGGCCGAATGGTTAGAACGTGTGCGCCGTATCATAAGGTATGTCATTGAGTCAACTGGCGTGGTTTCGATTCCCCGACTGTACGTGACAAGGAATAGGGCCGCCTGTCCAACCTCGTGGGTTTTCTCGGGGTCCCCCGGTTTCCTCCCACTGCTAAAGACCACTACGCGCAAGAGAATTATTGAAATAAACTTGAACCATATGTTAGTCCCGAAATCACCTAGTTTGTGTCGAGTGAACGTTAAACCCCATTTCTCTCTCTCTCTCTCTCTCCGCCTCCTTTATTAAGAACCCATTGAATATACGATACATTATAGTCAGTCTATTTGTGAATTAAATCTAGGTTTACTACATTGATTTCTGTCTGACAGGCCACACGTCTATAAATACTTGTATAAAAAGGTTATTATTGGTTTTTATTCACCATTTTATACGTCATTAAAACCTCGTGTGACGTACGTTGGCTAAAAGTGGAATAAAATGAAATGTAGAGATAAATCAAACGATAAGCAATTATTTATAATACATAGATTGTACTGTGTCACCCAGACATCATAACATACATAAACTCGTTTCTCAATTTAATCGCTAGATATTTTGTTGGGATTTATTTTTATTGGTTTGTTGCGTAAGACTTTTTTATGTTTTTCTTTATTAGCTTGCCAGGTAGCAGGTTGGTTTGCTTTGTTTTCTGTTGGGGGTTTGGGTTGGGAGGGGGGGTATTAGTTTGATGGTTTGTTCCCTCACATACGACCTCTAGTCTTGGCAGAGATGTATATAAATCCCTTTTTAGGCCTCCTACCACGAGACCCAACTTAGAATCCAATTCTTTACGATATGGTAATGTTTTACTTGAGAATCCACAATTTGTTACTTTCCAGTAATAGGCGATGATTTGAATTAGCAAACACCTTCGCCATAATTTGAATTAGCAACCACTCCTTCAACATGATTTGATTTGGCAATTGGCAACCACTCCTTCACCATGATTTGAATTAGCTACCACTCCTTCGCCTTGATTTGAATTTGCAGCCATTTCTTCACCATGATTTGAATTAGCAATTGACAACTTGTTCAAATGATGTTAAGACACATACCAAAAGCTTTGGAGTTAGGCTACCCACATCTCCAAGCACTTCATGTAATATCCTGCATCTTTTTTGTTAATAATTTCGATTGGCTTCTGACCCAGCTTGGGACCTCTCAGATTCCTCGATACAAAATATCATCGTGAATACCAAGTCTCGCGCTTTCCAGCTAAAATGACTACCTGTGATAATGAAGTTGAAAAGTTCAAGGTTCGCTCAATGTCAAGGTTTCCGTGGAGGTCACCATGTTTGATTTGAGTGTGTTTGTGTCACGATATCTATTGTTCATGTGTCTGCAGTAAAGGGGGATAACGTACCTATACGTTCGAGAATTTTAGACTAATGTAGCAACGGCTGAATGTTGTAAAACTGTTTCCTGGACAATCCAGGAAATAGAAGGGTACACAAGGTATATATTTGGGGTTAAACATCCAGGGAATAGAAGGGTATACAAGTTGTATGGTTGGTCAGCCATTTTAAAGTGGTTCAGCGAGTGTGATGCCAAAAACGATTCTTAGGATTTTCCAGTTTGATTTCCACTTTTCAGTGGTGCAGGACAGAGACTGAGAGGGTTGGGCAAGTGGTGCAGGACAGAGTCTGAGAGGGTTGGGCAAGTGGTGCAGGACAGAGACTGAGAGGGTTGGGCAATTAAAAAACAGTAATTGGGATGAGATGTAGCTTACACTACAGGTAACCTTGCCCTTGACAGTTAAAGTATTATGAAGAGAAGGAGGAAAAGCAGCTTGTTCAGGCAGAATTTCTCTCATTAGCCCAGTTAGTGTAGAAAAGTAGGACATTAAACCCATATTTCATTCCATTTATATTGCAAACCCCTCTTTTTCTAGTAGGCTAAATCACAACCTTAGCTTCCTTCTCCCACATCCCTTCTTAGGCCAAATTCAACAGATTACATGAAAAGCTTAGTCTGATATCCTCCTCAACTATTGGCAGTCTTCGAATTTGTGAAGAAAAAAACACAACAGAACAGAGAGCAGTAATTTGTATAATATAGGGTATCCCATTTTAATTATACATACATACATACGTACATACATACATACATCATGTTCAGCAGTCGACTCAACAATACTGTCTACAGTATATATAGTATAGTCTTTATTGTCAAGTGAGAATCAATCTAATTCAGCTGAGCTAATAGTGCACACAATCATGATAGAATGATTGATGACATTTGTTGTATATATATTATATTAATAATGATATTGGTGATAAGTTTCAATATATTTATCTATGTTATTATATACACAATTAAACACAAAGATTCAAATAACATACACACACACACACACATACAAATATCTACTAATATAACTCTAAAGCCACTTACATCATCATATAATTAAATATAAATCACATTCAGAATCATAACATAAGCGGACACTTCGTTAACAAAAATAATCAAAGGAAACAAGTTAAATTAAAGGAGCTAAAACTCTGAATTAAGTCCAAATAAAGTATTGAATTATGAATATGATTAAAATTTCGTTTTTTAAATATTAAGCAGAAGCTGTTAGGTTTGCTTATTAATTTTAATTTTGTTTCTTTACTCAAATAGCTGACCATTGTCTGGACATTGAATCCATCTGTAGACAATTAAACAAATAAAAAGACCAATGGTCTGTTGAGTTTGTTTGCTTTGTGTTATGCCTCCACCTAAGTTAAAGTTAATTCCCATGTGTGAGGCTGTGTCATGTGTATGCTAATAGAAAACCAAGATGAAATGTTGATAGTTTTTAGTCAGCGAAGTGTCCCTTTAAATCTACTAATAAATAAATACCATATATGGAATAAATTACTATTCAGTATTTTCTTAAAGATGATGATAAAGTTACTATAATTATTTTTTTTATATATGTTTTTAAATATTAATATTAGTAATAAATGAAATATGCATCCTTTTGTCATACCTCCTTCATCTAAGTTATAATAAAAACAGTAATTAATCAACTTATTAATTAAAGGTACTAATTAGTGAACAGTACTAATTAAAATAGTTAATTAATTCACTGTAGGGTACTAATTCACAGTACTAGTTAATGCATGGTATTAATTAATTAACGGCATTAATTACAAAACACAAACAATATTGTAACTAAGGCAACAATATAACAATTAATTTCAAAAGCAGGACCAAAGAAAGACAAATACCTCAAAGAGAATGTGCTTGTTTTTAAATTGAAATTTAAAAAGATCAAACTAAAAATGAAAGAACAGGAAATGGATTAAAGGTTTTTGTATTTCTATTTTTAAGATTTTCCATTTTCATACCATCATTACCACACTTCGGCAACAAAATAATTAGCTTAGTTTTTATTTTTCTACTTAAGCTGAGGAATGCTGTTATTTTAGTATGCTATGCCATTTAGAATCCTTGAAGCCATAAATACACGACATACACAACGTCAAGGAATTACAACATAAATTTGAAAAAAGTATAATTATGATGTCAACTAATTTCATATAAATGTGCATGCACAGTACAAAATTGGTGAAAAAGATTTTAGAAAGGTCAGACTCTGAAATCAAGCACCAATTTATCGCTTTATATAACTAGAAATCATGAGACAGAGTATGGACAAAGATAAATTTCATCATACCCTGGTGGCCATACAAGACCTTTTTCCCTGCACGGAGTTACATTGGATCAAATTTATTCATTTCATTTCATCTCAACAAACATCAATAAAATATATATAGCACTATACATGTATTCTAAATAATCTTCCATTAAATTCATTCTATGTAATCAATATGGTGTCTGAACAGTACACAAGATAAACATCGTGGGTTTACGTAGCTCCACAATAATTCAGATATATTGAAATACCTATCATGGAGATTTTTAAAAAGATATCTATTTTATTTCATAATTCTCAAAATATAATAATGTAAGTATTTAATTTGTCAGTCGAAAAATATAGTGCAATTTATTTCAAATGGATTTCCTGTTTTTGTACAATTATTATAAAATAAAATAAATTTGGGAATGGAGAAATTGGAGCAGATTGTGGCAAGAGAAACAGAAGAAAATATTTCAATAAATAACATTATTATAAAGGACAACACCCATTTAAGATAATAGACTTTCTCTAAATAAAGGAAACATGTTGTATGATGGAAAGTTTATTACTAAAGATAGGGGTGTAAATTGTGGATTACACAAGAAAATAGCACTACAAAAGCTATATTAAATGAATTTGAAAATAGAAATCAAGACAAAACACTGTTTATACAGCCCAACAAAATCATCCTCAATCAAGTGTACAATTTACTTTATTATTCTTTTTTGATAACCAAAGCTACCATTTCCTTTTTCTTTTATCAAGACGCATATTAACTACAACACTCAATGTACATGCACTACCATATAAATGATAATCTCTTTTATATCAGAAACAGAACCATAACAAATAAACTTTCCATTATGTGACAATCTAGTCTACTTTCTCCCTTAACTGAAACATATCAAACACTCCATATAGAACACACCATGATAATCTAGACTACAATTTCTCTAACTGTAGCATATTATGAAATAATCAATGTTAACACTCCGCGTATATATTTTTTTAAACGCTCACTGGTCCTTTCATTTTTCTCCTCAATAAATACATTTAAATATAAATAGACATTATCAAATAAATTATGCTTTGCTTTGGTACGCCAACCTAACATAGGTATCAAATCAACAATCGTCATGTTCATCTCCATTATTTACATCATCTGGACAAGCTCTCATAATTCAGTATTCAAACCAATGAAAACACAGTATCGTTAAAAATAAATTAGCTTCAGACTAATGAAAACACAATATCCTCAAAAATATGTTAGCTTCTAACCAATGAAAACACAGTATCCTCAAAACACATTAGCTTCTAATCAATGAAAACACAGTATCCTCAAAAATATGTTAGCTTCTAACCAATGAAAACACAGTATCCTCAAAACACATTAGCTTCTAATCAATGAAAACACAGTATCCTCAAAAATACATTAGCTTCTAACCAATAAAAACACAGTATCCTCAAAAATACATTAGCTTCTAACCAATGAAAACACAGTATCCTCAAAACACAGTAGCTTCTAACCAATGAAAACACAGTATTCTCAAAAATATATTAGCTTCTAACCAATGAAAACACAGTATCCTCAAAAACACCTTTTGTTAAACCTTTGCAACATGCCTTGTATAGATTCAAACCAAAGAAAACAAAGTATCCTTAAAAATACATTAAGTTTCATTTTTGCAACATCCAACATGCCTTATTTGTGAAAACTAGAATCCCTGAAGTTGATTGTTAAATTAAAAGCCGATATTAGAACTACTAGATATTGTAATTTAGCAATATCAAAATATGACATCTTAATCTCCAATTCACGGCAATAAAGTTTTCATGAATATAATGAGCCAATATCTCATAAGTAGGCTATGACAGAAATAGAACCTTAGTTTTATATACTTGACTTATATAATTGCTAATTTTAGCTCTGAGCTAATTTCAAATGAATTATCTTGTATGTCCAAGATTATAGCTCTAAGTAGTAAAATAAATAATACATTGGCTATAGCAATTTAAAATTTTTTTAGAATAACTGTCATTTTGTTTTATTTGAGAATAGTATCGTCAGGGTTCTTCTTTTTCACAGAAATTTAAACTAAAATATTTTAAGAAAGCAACCTTTACATTGGTAAAGAGCTGAAATTTGTACCTGGATTTTAACCCACAACAAATGAAAAGGACCAAACTCTTATAATATTTGAGCTTAAGTTTTCCTTAAAAAGGCTGAAGAGTTTTACTAGGGATGTGTTCATCACTTCAAATTTCACGTTTATTGTAGTAGGCCCGTCCCTCTTTTTAAGGCACCCATAGGGGTGTCTCAAAAATAATCATAAGCTTAAAAATGGGCAGAAATTTCAACAGATTCGATTGTTCTTTTAATATAAAAAGGAAAAAAAAAAAAAATCATCACACATAAATTCTAGCACACACTTGACAGATGAATCTGTATCTCACACTCAAGGTTTAAATTAAAACTCATTAAATTAATTAATTAAATACTAGAATCAACAAACTTATGTAAATTACGACCCCAACGCGATAAAAGTTTTAATGATTAACAAGCACAATCTTGACACAACATATATAATCTGACAAACGCATCCGGAAAACAAAAAAAACAAAAAAACCCGGACATATATTTAGAATAAATTAATTCTTATTCAAAAAATTCTAAAATAAGCAAAACAAAAATATGTTCATTTTCGACAATTTATCCACATTATACAGTGTGTATATACTTATTTAAACTGTACAAATCCAATAATCATCAATTAGTCAGTTGTATTCAATCCAAGGCATGGAACTGATTTTAAACTGCTATCAATATGCATGGCTTAAATTTAAATTATTTGACCACAACGACAATTCATTTTAATAAAAATTCTATTAAAAAAAAATTGATTTCCTTGAAAACAAACATTACACTATAGATAATTCACTTTTAGCTGTAATACATGTACATGTCTATCGATCTCTGAGATATTTTGTTCTTGACAATCCACATTTAGCCGTAACAGATTAGTCTCCGAGAAATCTTATGCTCGATAATCAAGTTTAGCCATAATGGATCGATCTCCGAAAAATCTTATTCTCGATAATCCATGTTTAGCTGTAATGGATTTTCAACAATCAACTTTTAGCCGTAACAGATTGATCTGTGAGAAATCTGATTTTCAACATCCACGTCTAGCCGTATCTAATCGATCTCCGAGATATCTTGTTCTTGACAATCCACTTTTAGCCATAATCGATCGATCTCTAAGAAACCAGATTCAAGACAACCCATTTTTAGCTGTAGAATCTAGCTATCTGATTCTTTAGCTATCCATATATGTACATCATCTGAAGCTAGATAGTCACATGTTTCAATACTATGTACAAACAATTCTAATCCATATATACACCAATCACTGTTAAATAAAAACACACGCATCAACATTCTACTGCAGTAAACTCATACTTTCTGTATCAACACAAAATGCTACCATTTTATATCACTGATACCACTGGATAGATGCCGTCTTCCTTTGTAAGTGAACATTCATGGATTACCATTGGTTAACTTAAATGTCATATGACCATTAATGATTGGCTGAAACACTAGATTTTGAGTCACATGACATAGTTAGCTTGTAGGATTTGATTGGCTGCATTAAACAATCTCTTTTTTAATATTGAGGTTCATATGATGTATTTCTTCAGTTGTCATTTGTACTGACAGTTCGTGTTGAGATTCATCGGACTTTGTTGTAAGATTGAGTGGTACACTTTCTTGTTCTCCACTGAAATAAAAGTAAAAGTAGATAACTTAAGATTGATGACAAATACTATGTAAGTACAGAAGAGTGTCAGGTTCAAACTACTTCTCAAGTTAAATATAGGAATGGTCGTACTTGGGGCAGGGTATGAATACTCTTTCTGGAGGGTATGTCGGGAGTAGTGCTTGTCCCCACTTGTCAGGATTCAAGGACTGGTCCCTACTTGTCAGGAGTAGTGCTTGTAGGGCTGGTCCCCACTTGTCAGGACTGAGAAAGCAAAGTGTTGCCCAGTTGTTTGGATGGGACAAAAACTGATGTCTATTCGTGCACAGATGAAACAACCTATGACAAATGCCAAACTCCATAGTATTGTACATAGAAATAAAATAATACTCTTAGTTTCAAAATGACCAACATATTATATTTTATTAAACTGCCAACAACCAAACTACAGTACACAAAACTGAACTGAAATGAAAAGTCGTTTAATGTCCTACTACACCGCACCAAACAAAATGCAAAAGGTTAAATCGACCATCTTACATCCACTTAACTAGAGTTAAAAAGATGATCCATGAGCACCCACCCGGTAAATATAAGGATACTTACTATCGAACAAGATTATTGGTGTTATTGTAGTCTTGTGTTGTGAAACATGGCTTGACGGCATTAGGCGTCATGATATGACCTTTGAACATAGACTTGTATAGTGGTAATGATTTTTGGTAGTCTGGGATAACCAGACTTGGAGAGCTTGATGAAACTGGAGTTGATATGGGCGACTGAGTTGATAAATTGGGTAAGGAATTTGGCATGTTGCCAGCTAGAGTTGATGTATGTCTTACTTTCGAATCAGATGAACTCGTTTTATTATCTTTGGCACCAATTTTCAGCAAATTTTCCATACTACCATTTTTTCGAAGTAGTTTGTCTTTTAAGTGGGAGACTGCTGCCGCATGAAACTGTTCCCGCGTTCCAACTTCTGGAACCATATTTGACATCATCTGAGAATCTTGGTGGGAATTGTTCTGTGAAAAAGAGGCCATCACTTGTGCATGCATGTTTTGTGGCGTTGATAAGAATCCTGCTGGATATTCTTTCATCATGGCTGCCGTTGGATGAGTAGTTGTGGCCATGATGGCCGCTGCCTGGTGTTGAGCTAAGAATGATGAATGTGGATTCATCATTGGATATTGGTTCCAGGTCATTCCCGACATCGTAGGATGAACAGCTGCCTGTGTAACATTCACCTGAGTAGGAGCTTTGAGATGAGCGAGCAAATTGGGATGCGAGTCTCCGGCTGATTTTTGTTGGGGGTCTGGAGATCCTTTTTTCTGATCAAGGAATGAGTTGTCGTGGTAGGATTCTTTCTTGTCTTCGTCGTCTGCCTCCATATTTTGACTAGTATCTTGTGATTGAGCTTCGATATTTTCGCTGGAATGTGTCAGATGTTTCCGTAGTTTATCAAATTTCTTGTGGAATATTTCTGGCTGGTCGTCTGTGTCCGCTGCCTTACCTTCAGCAGCAGGAATTCCTTCGGAGGTGGCATTTCCAGAACTCTCTTTAGCAATGGCAACAGCCTTTTCGCGAGCAGCCTCCAATTCAACTTTATTGAGTACAGGAGGTATTGGGGCACCGTTGAACTGTTCATCACGAGGACTGATTCGTGATAAGACTGGTGGAGGTGGTGATACACCTATCTGTTGTTGCATCCAGTTCATATGACGTGGTGGTATAGGATGGCTATACATATTCTGCCCGTTCACCATTCTCTAAAAAACATAACATTTCAAAAATTAAAATGGCTGCATCTTCTTTTCAAAGATTTAAATGGTATCCCTGCGTCAAAAAAATAAAAATTCTGTTTGCATTATGCGTTGACATGTTTATTGGGATAATGCTTTTTTCGTATTTTGAAAATAAAATGGCACTATCTGTGATGTGCTTCCAAAAAATAAAAATATGGATTTTGTTTGAATTATATGTTTATTGGGATGACAATTTCATATTTACTATTTTACGTGTAAAAATATGCCAATGTTGAGAACAAACCCGTGTAATTTCTAACAATAAAAATATAAAGAAGTTATTCCAAGATGAATCAGATCAACTCAATATTTCAACTGAAAGAGGTTTAACATCTTCAAGAAATAACCAGAATCCAAACAGAATCAATACCATATTTTATGAAGTAAGTGCACATATTGTTTGTATAACATGAACAGATGAACAACTATTAAGTCGTTTTCAGTTTCTTATTCTACATGTAATTATCGAATGGGGTTTAACATTTTATCAACACAATAATTTGGTATCTGGAGACTAACAACGTACAGAAGTCGTTATTTCTATGGTTACATGTGTAATGTTAGCAGGAGAATTTTGTAAGGACAGTGGCATTTCAACCTTCTCTTAATTAGGCTCAAGGACTCCTTCACGTTTACCTTGGATTTTTTTTTATTCCATCCGCAAGACTAGGCTAAATTTTACTCAATAACCAACAAGACATGTAAAATAAAGAAAAGAATTGAACAGTACCTTGAGATTTGCGATTTCTCCCTGTGACCTTCTCTCAGCTTCCTGTCGTAACACATCGGGGTTGACACTAAGATATGATGGATGTCGATCAACTAACAAAGACTTTTTACGCACATGTAATCCATACGCTGCTCCAACACTTCCACGTCGCATCTCCGGCGACAAATACTGTTGGGATGAATCCTGGGACGCCCTTTCCTTTTCCTGAGCATATTTAGGTGGCAATGAAACCCGAGATGCTCGACCTTCGCTGTTGAGATGAAAACTGTAACAACGAGGCCTCATGTTCTGATAATCGTCATTTCCAAATGAACCGGATCTGGATCTTGGATGCGGAGAATTAGGTGATGAGTTAAATGAAAGCATGGAATCTGTGATTAGCGGACTGCCTCTAGCACTACCTATTCCACTCTCCGCGGATGATATGGGCATAAATTCACGATTACTGTTTAGGTATGGAAAGTTTTCCTCTGGAATCGGACTACTTGCTGCGCTACTGGAAATCGACGGCGGCATGCTGTCACCTCGAATTGCTGTTCGCTTTTCTAGTCTGTCACTCAATTTGTTGACCATCTTGTTGATGTATTCCCGATCCATCGTATAACGCCGACGATTTCCCTCGTCTATCGTGTGTAGTCTGGTGGGTCTAGTGAGCGTGTCTCGATCTAAGGTATGGCAACGACGTCTTGGCTGATCTGGAATCATTCCGTAGAATCCACTCATTTCCTCTCGATAGAAAGTTCCATAAGGAGTTCTGAGTACGACTTGTTGATGACTAGGATCTAGGGATCTGTTGATGTGAGCAGCGCCGTTAGAATCTAATGATGGTATGTCACTATAGGAACCAGATGTTAATGTCATGTTTGATGAAGCTTCCGACGGTGTAGGTGATGATCGTCCTGACCTACAAAATACAAAAATAATATTGGGAATAAATAAATAATGAAGACAAACATGTATAGACCAACAGACTAAACCGTTATTATAATACTAAATATATGAAATCGGCTCCAATGCTTGAAACAAAAGGTAATCTCTCGCTCCAACTCTCCTTCACTCTTGAGTTCCAATCTGGGAGAGCTGTTCATTAAAGAGCTTAACTTATCAATAACCTCTTGTCATTTCATCAGTGTGCATTTCATGGTTTTAAAGATGCATTATGTAAGAGCTAAATCTGCTTATTTTAGGTCAATTTTGTGACTTCAGATGCTATATAAATATAAATTATCATTTAGACATTTATTCACATGACACAACCATAATCAACTATCTAGACCATTGGATGGCTTTGATATTAATTGGATTAAACCATCTGTCCCATTTAATCAATTCATGGAAAATCATTACTTCATTTATTATTGTAGCAATGACAACCGAGACTACGGCATTTTTGTCAAAATTTCAAATATTCATAACTTCACTCAATTAAAAATAATTTGTACTTTCTTTCGTTTCAAGTATTCGATGTTTTAATAGAAGACCTATGTTTTAATAGAAGACCTTTGTTTTAATAGAAGACCTTTGTTTTAATAGAAGACCTATGTTTTAATAGGGACCTATGGTTTAATAGGGACCTATGGTTTAATAGGGACCTATGGACCTATGGTTTAATAGGGACCTATGGTTTAATAGAAGACCTATGTTTTAATAGAAGACCTATGTTTTAATAGAAGACCTATGTTTTAATAGGGACCTATGTTTTAATAAGGGGAGGGGGCATGTTTTAATAGGGGGGGGGGGTGCCCATATTTAATAGAAGACCTATGTTTTACTGGAGGACCTACATGTATAGTTTCCAGGTCTCCTATTAAAAAAGACCGTTTAAAATGTTGTGTGGAATCTATTCTAAAAATTAAACGACCCTCATTATATTCCAATTATTAAATATTGATTTTTTATATTCACCAAAAAAAAACCCGAAACGATTCTTGTTTGAAGACGACATTTAACTTGGCCAACAAAACGTTTGACCTTTCACTAGGATTTATTATATTCCATCAAATGATATATTTGAGTGAAGTTGATAATATCGCGACCTTTTAGTAGACACTTTAATTACACTTCAAATAGCAACTAGCAGAGTGTCTAATTGTATCTTACACATCTACGTGGGTTCAAAATGATGACAATGTTAAAAACATACCATGAAAATGGACACAAATCAAATAAATTCTTACAGCCAGTTGACACTTTAATCATGTCATTTTAAAATTAAAAAGTTCATTGCACGGCTCTTTTTATAAGGTTTTTTTCTGAGAAATGTTTGTCATTTTGAAATTCAAACGTTTGTTGCAAGGCTGTTTTTATTGGTTTTCTTTTAGTGAGAGAGAAATGTTTATGTCATTTTGAAATTAAAAAATTGTTGCCAGGCTGTTTTTTTTTGTTTTTTTTTAAATAGTTTGATAAGAGAAACGTGATTCAACTGTTTATTTTTGGAACTAACAAACATCTTTATTTTATTAATTTGTTTATACATAGGGTTCTTTAGGAGGTAAATACTATGCCACAACTGACTTGATGAATTATATCCATTATAATGCAACTTTCATTTGGTGTTTGCTCAATTGCAGATCAATCAATTGAGAATATAATCAATTATCAACTAAACCTCGTGAATTCAACTTGTAAATCTACTTGTAGCTCTGTTAGTCTAATGTATCAATTATCAACTAAACCTCATTAGTCTAATGTATCCATATCAACTAAACCTCGTTAGTCTAATGTATCCATTTCAACTAAACCTAGTGAATTCAACTTGTAAATCTACCTGTAGCTCTGTGAGACTAATGTATCTATATCAACTAAACCTCGTGAATTCAACTTGTAAATCTACCTGTAGCTCTGTGAGTCTAATGTATCTATATCAACTAAACCTAGTGAATTCAACTTGTAAATCTACCTGTAGCTCTGTGAGTCTAATGTATCTATATCAAGTAAACCTAGTGAATTCAACTTGTAAATCTACCTGTAGCTCTGTTAGTCTAATGTATCTATATCAACTAAACATGGTGAATTCAACCTACCTGTAGCTCTGTGAGTCTAATGTATCCATTTCCATTTCTTCTGTATTATTCTCATTAACAGATTCTTGAGCCATTCTAACACTGTTCTGACCTAAAGAAATAACGTGTAAAATTACTAGTCAATGGTGGACAAAAATTTAGAAATAAATCAATACAATCATCTTGCATGGATCAAGGTTCCAAAACTATAATCCTTGAAATTACACTTCTAAAGTTGTTGATTGTTATTTCAGGTATTCTGAATTCTGTGCGAACTATAATATTGTAAAAGTTGAATCTCTAATATGAATATCAGTTCAAACATGGTTCAATTCCTTTCAGTATTTATAAAGATATGATCCAATGAAACTTGGTCACCGTTCGTCATCCAATGCAGATTATTAGTAGGAAGGATGTAATCAAGACAAACCAGTATAAATTGTTTAGTAACTAAATGACAATAACACACAATTATATTGAATACATATACAATGTATATTATTGTCTTTATTGTTTCATGTATCTGGTTGTCATTCTCTTGATAAAGATAAGAGAACCCTCATCAAAATGTCACCAGAAATAAAATTTTAAGTAGAGAGAGAGAGAAATGGGGTTTAACATCCACTTCGGGACTAACATATGGTTCAATTTATTTCAATAATTCGCTTGCGCGTGCAGGGGTCTTTAGCAGTGGGAGGAAACTGGAGGACCTGGAGAAAACCCACGAGGTTGGACAGGCGACTCTACTCCCTATCAAGTAAAACCAGGGAATAAAAATCACGCCAGTTGACTCAATGACAAACTTTATTATACAACGTGCACACGCTAACCATTCGACCATCCAACCTCCAAGAACTTTTAAGTAACTTGCATTCCATAATTGTGTCAGTATATTATCTTACCAATGGATTTTTCTGAATGAAGTGTGTTTAATGTTCGGAGATCAGTTGTTTTCATGAGTAATTTTGCGAACAGCGTGCTGTCTTCTTTATGATTCACATTGATGATGTTATGGAGGGACTCAGTCAATTTATTTTGGATTTTCTCAACTTGTTCGATATTACGCAATCCAGGACGGTCTGAAAGAAAGAATAAACGAATGAGTATATTACAATCTCGTCACTGTTAACATAATAATGCTTTAAACAAATATTTTAGATATTGTTAAAATGTGGGAAAATAAATAATTTTTAATTTAACTTGATAAACTAGGAAGGGGCGACGGCAATATAATTTCAAAGTGGGCGTATAAAAACCAATATATAATGATATACGTTCTGATCTAACTGACAGACAGACAGGCAGGATAAAAACACAAACACATTAACAGGCGTCTAGAATATTGCTGCTCCATAAAATGTCAAAGATGTCGGGATGCATAATTATCGTTTCCAAGGGAGGATATATCTCTATATCTATTATTCATGCCCACATTATATTCAAGATATTGAAAGGTTGTCTGCCACATTTCTTCATAATAGTTTAACCTTCAAATAATTAGATATTTATCATGTCATAACCATCATTATAAACACAGGAATCATCATTAATTTGTTACAAACATAACATGCTCAAATTAACTTAATACTGTACCATCGCAGAAGACCAATTAAAACCTATTATTAACCAATAAGGAGAGAGAGAGAGAGAGAGAGAGAGAGAGAGAGACACAGTAACTTCCATTGGACACAAATCAGGTCATTTCGGCATGGTTCAATTTTATTTTAATAATTCGCTTGCACGTAGGGGGTCTTTAGCAGTGGAAGGAAACCGGAGAAAACCCACGAGGTTGGAAGGACACAGAGAGAGAAATGGGGCTCAAAATGTCTGTGCAAAACAAACTAGGTATTTTTCGGGACTAACATAAGGTAAAAACATTTTAATATCTCGCCTGTGATTTAAGAGAGCAAAATAAATGCCAACTTACCAGGTGAAAGTAGAACAATAGCTGAGAATAAAGCCAGTTCTTCTTCTGTTAAATGTAACTTATTAAATCTTTCAGCAAAATCAAACATGGAGTCTAATAAAAACCCTGCACCACATGAGATCTACAAATAAATGAACATGAAATATTGACCATCTGTAATTAAATCTATTCTCAATTACAACTATTCTCAATTGCATCTATTCCCAATTAAATCTATTCTTAATTACATCTATCCCCAATTAAATCTATCCCCAATTTAATCTATCCCCTATTAAATCTATTCTCAATTAAATCTATCCCCAATTACATCTATTCCCAATTACATCTATCCCCCATTAAATCTATTCTCAATTAAATCTATTCCCAATTACATCTATTCCCAATTAAATCTATTCCCAATTACATCTATTCTCAATTACATCTATCCCCAAGTAATTATATCCATTCCAAATAAAATCTATTCTCAATTAACGGGGCTAAAACCTTGTTGATTTAACTAAAAATGAGGCAAAACCTCTCTATATGTTTAAATTTTTCTTTTGAAAGATAAGCTTGGGGGATTTTTTTATTTACTAATTTTAATTTCATTTCCGGCTTCTTTTGTTGACAGTGGAATACAAAATTGGTTATATTTTACCACTATCTATGGAAGTAAAATTTTAAATAAAGACCAATTTACACCTCTAAACTACAATAAAACTTGTGTTTTGTATATATCACATAGTTCACGGTTTTACCCAAGATTAAAATATAAAAAACTTACATTATTTGAGCCTGTGGCAGATGTCTGTCTACGGAAGAGACGTCCACTTGTAAACATCAGTGTGTTGGTATCGGGATCAAATAAACAGGCTAATCGTACCAACAATACTTCAAATGTACCAGCCTAAAAACAACACACACAGGACAATTATAAACATACGCATCTGTTTCACTCAAATCTCATTTCTATTCTAACATTTATCGAAATAAAAACACTATATTGTTGTGAAATGAAACATTTGAACAGAAAATGAAATGAAGACAGCCATACGCCATCTCTATGAGGGATTGAATCCCAGGTCTCCCGGTTAATGAGCTAGAGCCGCTATCGCTCCTCAAGCTCACCTTTTCAAATACCTTTTCTACCTGAATTTAATGTCAATTAAAACATTCATTTTAATTACCTATTGAATTTATTTTCAAGTCACAATAAATGTTAAGACGTTCTCTGTTCTTACCTTTAATAACGTAACTTGATCGTCTTGGTTTAGTAAAGTGAAACCTGGAATACCTTTAGCAAAATCTACCACTGATTTAATGGCAGGTGTAAAACTCTCGGAGAAATTCCCCCAGTCTTTGTTAGCGTTTGGATCCATACCAAGTTGATTATTTAGAGGACATGCCTGAAAATTAAATACAGTAATTATTGCCACACCTCAACAAACATGCTATAATATTATAAGCAAAGTTTCTAAAACAGAAATATAAGTATACTTCTGTCGTTCAGCTGATTTTTGGATGAAGGCCCTATATTATTACTTCTAATCAGGTCCAAGGCACCGATACTGCTGATATCGGGCAAAATTCCAAGCATCGATGAATCAAAAGCAAACAGTGGCAAATTTTACGGTCACCGAACACACTATTTGAACGAAAATTCTGTAAATATTTCATCCAAATAAATACTATGCTTCCTATGCAGATGCCGAAATGAATGAATTGAAGCCTACAATCGCCCTGTATGCAATAGGCTCAATGAACAGCAGGACAATTGTTAATAAATCCAGTCACAGGATCATCCTATACACTCATGCATGTATCTGGGGTAAACCTACATTTCTTAATTTCCAACTCCTTATCCATTTAAATATGAGAAAAGCTTTCATTCTACAGTTAAGATTTCTATAAGCACTCATTGTAATAATTGTAAATCAAGCTGATAGGGTAGAAGCACTATCTTTAATCACAGTTTTATTCAATTGGTTGTTCATAATTCAAATAAATAATAAAACATAAAGAGAGATAAAATGTGCCTCCTGTAGAGAGAAGATAAAATGTGCCTCCTGTAGAGAGAACAGCAACATCTTGATTTATTATAATTAAATCCAACCTGTTTTAAAAATTAACAAGTTTGATTCCGTCTAGGGTTTCTAGCAAGCTTTCATTAAGTTGCATCATGAACGGTTGATTCTGGTCAGTAACCAATTGTTCCAGAGAAGAGAAGAAAGAATGAGAATTATAAACACTAACCATATGAGCAGGACAGTCAACATATCTATTATCTTGGAATGCTAGTTCACGCATCTGTTGTACACGGAACTGCGAGAAATCACAAGTTTGTCGATGAGCATTAAACACAGATTGTAAAACATCCTGTTCATTCTGTAAGATTGATATCAGCGCCGTCACTGTTGACTGCGAACTAACTTTCTGCATCTGTTCTATAATTCTTGCTTTTTCTTTTTTCGGTACCCTGCCAAATCGAACGGCTGAAAAACAATTGAATGTTACAAATTATCAAAAAAAAACATTTACATATCAACAACTTGTTTTAGCTGCAAGCATGGGTATTAGGCACCAATATGGCAGCCCAATACCTCTCGTTTCTGTTATTTTGTTTGGCACAGATTTTTTTTTTTATCCAAGTTTATATATGTTCAAAGCAAAAGCCAAGGTTATACGATCTGGCCTGGAAAGCTGTGAGAACGCAACTTTTTCAAGTTCGTAAGTTTTGGGGACATTTTCTCGCATTGTGTTCACATTTGCCGACAACCATGTTTATTATCTGGTCGCCCTATGGTTGCAGCATCACAGTAAGGGGGCGCCACCCCGGTCTGACGGGGGGGCATTATATATTGAAACAACACAAGGGACGTAAGTCCCAAGTTGTTGTTTCAATATATTACGCAATGTCTTAAGCTCAAGACCATAAAACA